CCGCTTCCCTCCCTCCTCTCCCGCCTCCTCTCCCTCCTCTCCCGCCTCCTCTCCCTCCTCCCTCCCTCCTCTCTCGCCTCCCTCTGGGTGACCACCATTTGAGCCCCTGTCCCTGATGTGAAAGTGCAGCCTCAAGTTCCACTGAAGTTGGTTCTGTCCGAAGGCAGGTGCAGAGAACCACGTGTTGGTTAAGCTGTCGGGCAGCCCAGTGAGGATCGGTCCTTTATTCGTGTTTCTAGGAGCAAAGACAGTGAGTGAGCCAGTCTTCAGATCCCTCCATGGTCTCCTCCCACCCGCGTAGTGACCAGCACCGCGGTCCGGGCGAGTGGACAGAGAGGCCCAGTGTGGCCGCAGCTGCGCTGGAGCGTGTGCCTGGTGTTTATAGAGAAGACGGTGGAGCTGCCTCTTCTCCCTCCTCCCATCGCCTCCCGCTGTTTGCCAAGGGGCCCAGGCGGCGAGGGCTCTCAGAGAAGGTCCAGCCCCGAGGAGCGGGTGCAGCTCTGCATCCTTCTCCTCCTCCCTCCCCCTGCACCCCCCCCAGCACCTCCCACGCCCACACCCCAGCACCACCTAAGTGCGTGCGCCTCCAGGACACGCCGCCACTCACGCCCCAAGCGTGCGCTCCCTTCCCCAGGCCGGTCCCCTCGGTCCCCTGGGTGTTGGATGCGTGCTGTGCCGTCGTCCTCGGTGTGGTGGCCCCGCTTTTTTGGAATGCATGCATGCGGACCCCTTTGGGTTGAGAGCTCTGGCTATTTGGCAAAGTGAGCGCCATGCCTGGGTCCTTCCATAACCGCGCTGGCATGAGCGCTGGCCCAGCGCGCAGGCGGCACGTTCTGGGGTCGTTCCGGTTGCAGATGTTCTTTTCTGATTGGCTGACTGTGGGTTCTTTGGAGTTAATCTAAACGTGAGTGGTGGGTCCTGTGTGTCTCTAGCACAGAGGGTGCTAATGAAGCTGGGAGGGTGGGGAGGACGGGGCCACAGGCAGAGGGACCTCAACTCCCAGATGCTCTGCAGACCTGACCTCTGACCTGAAAGGGCCAGCTGAGCTAGCCTTCCCGGCTGGGGTCCTTTCCTTCCACTCTTCCTCCCTTCCCTAGGAAAACACCCAAAAACGTTCAATCACATGATCTCACTCATATGTGGAACCTAATGAATAAAATAGATCCAGAGACATAGAAGCAAGGAGCAGACTGCGGAATCTCAGAGGGAAAGGGGAGGAGGGGTGTGTGGGAAGAGATCAACCAAAACACTGTATGCATGTGTGCGACCCAGGGACAGACAATAGGGGGGAAGGCAGGTTAGAAGAGGTCAATGGGGGGGCATGTAAATACTCTCAACAATAAAGATTATAAATTAATTAAAATAAAAACTTTCCGTCTCTGAGTCTCAAAGCCCAACAGCCCCTTAATGTTCCTTTCCTCGCATCAGACACCAGGTTCCTTGAAATGTGTTTGCAGCTTTCTCTGAATTCAGTAGCTGTTAGAAATGATCAGTGTTGCGGATTCCTCCTCCTCAAATTGCAACGATCAGGTTTTCCAGTGGAAACCCTGCATTGCACAATCCCGCTGTGGGACCCAAGTGGAAATCGGGACATTGGCCGGAAAAGTTCAACTGCTGGGGGGGTGGGGGGGTGGCAGGGGAGGGGAGGAGCTGTATTTCAAAACGAACTCCACTTCTTTCTTAAAAACAGTTCACTGACCAAGACAGATTTCCAGTGTTTCTCACCCCCCACCATCCTCAGGAAATGCCGGCCCCAGCAGCCGGCCAGGCTGGCTCCCAGGCTCCCCAAAGCCGGACGCTCCGGACGGAGGCTAATTGCTGTTTACTACAGGCCTTCCTCTTTTTCTCTGTAACATTTTCCATCTCGAGGGGCGTCCATTCAGCCGGAGCGTGTCCGAGCGTGAATGGAATTACTACCAGTGGAAACTATGCTGCCAGGAGCGGTGAGAGAGCAGCTGCAGGCGAAGGCGCCGATTTTCCATCCTCCCGCTCCTGGCGCAGGGCAGGGCCGGTGACTAAGGCGCTGACGTCACCTCTTTCCAGTAGAGGCTCACACTGTCCCTGTGGGCTCAGCCTGCGGCTCCTCGGGAATCTGCCGCCCAAACCGGATGCGCCCGGAGCCCAGCTTTCTCCCGGGGGCTGGACCTCCGGCTTTATAAGCACGGGCTCCACGGACAAGCCCAGCCTCTCAGAGGAACCTCGCTCGCTCTCTCTTGCTCTCGGGTGCGACCCTGCGTCTCTCGCCCTCCCTGGGAGGAAGCAAGATGCATTTCAGAAACTTTAACTACAGTTTTAGCTCCTTGGTTGCCTGTGTGGCAAACGGTGACATCTTCAGCGACAGTGACACGAGGGTAAGGCTTCTGGTGCAAAGCGAGTTTTGAGTTTTCAAAGCTTGACGCTAGTTGGGACTATTCCTTCTTTTCTACTTCCCTTCACTGGGCTGTGAACAACTGTTGGGGGTGGGGTATGTGGCTCTCCTGTGGCTTTGGGGTTTTTGAAATAAATCCAAAATGCTTTGAGCCTTAAAAAGCAAGTGTTCGCCCACAGGATGGGCTGGGAAGGGACTTTCAGAGCTCGGTGAAGCCAGAGCCCTGCCAGCGCGGGAGGCGACGCGGGCACCGCGTGGCTCTCATTCTGGGCAGACTGTTTGGAGGGAGGGCTTAGTGAGGAGCACGTTCGCTGTGGCATCTGGAGTTCAGGAGAATGAGATTTTATCTCAGGAAATAAGGCTGTGAAGGTGGTTTTGTCTGCAGCCACACGAGTAGTAAAGCTGGAAAATAACTTCCGTGCTCAGGAAGCAGCTCCCAGTGCTGGCGGTGAGCACCGTCGGTCAGTTCATGGCTGTAACCTTCCCCGGAGGAGATGTGAGGTTTCCGGCAGCACCTGCCGCCGCCTCCAGCTCCGCCTGTGCGCGGAGGAATTCTCTGCTGCAGCACGTGTCGCTATTAGCCGTGTGAGTCAGACCTGCTTTCCCCGTGCAGCAGAGGGGCCGTCCGACAGCGACACGGCCGGACGTGCGCTGAGGGACAGGGGCACTCATAGGAGAGGGGCTGGGAGTGGCAGGACTTCACAGATGGCGCGCGCTCTCTGGTCCTGAGCCCTGACTTGTATTCTAAAAATACTCGCCCAAGTCACCTCTGCTCAATTATGAATCATAACTTCAGACCTGCACAGTCAGTCACGGTGCCTGTTAATGAGGTCATGCGGAACTCCCAGGGCACGCTCAGGACACCGTGCGGGAGCTGCCCGGCGGGCGGTGGAGAGAGGCCCTGGCGGCAGTGGGGTCGGGTCGGCTGCAGCCACGCGTGCTCCGCCCTCGTCTCTCTCATTCTTCACCTCTGCAGTTGCCCCGAGGGAGAGTATAGAGGTGTCCATCACCTAAAGCCGTGGTCGGCAAACTGTGGCTTGCGAGCCACATGCGGCTCTTTGACCCCTTGAGTATGGCTCTTCCACAAAATACCACGTGCGGTTGCACGTACAGAGCAATTGAAACTTCGTGGCCCATGCGCAGAAGTCGGTTTTCGGCCTGGGCGAGGCTATTTTGAAGAAGTACTGTTGATATTTGGCTCTGTTGACTAATGAGTTTGCCGACCACTGACCTAGAGGAAAGCCAGGCAGTTCCCAGAGCGAAAGTGTGAGAGTTGTTCCCACTCCCGCTTCACAGCTGCTGGTGGAGTCTCCCGGTGGCTGGCACGGGGACCTGCCCCAGCCCTGCCATGTGGAGCGGGCACTTGCCCGGGGCCATCCCTGCCCTGTGCCAGCCCCGAATGTCCTAGAAGATGCTTTTCTCTCGCATTAGGCATCCCCTCTCCCTCTGCAGAAGCAGGTGCCTCCCAGAGGTCTCAGGTCCCTGTGGGCCAGCTCTGTCCTGCATCTCCCGTGCGGAGAGCACCTGCTCAGCCCAAACACTGCAGGTTCTTCCAGGCCTGACTGTCCACCCGCTCCCTCTCTGGCTGGAATCCTGAGGGGCTGCGGTGGCTGCCCCGCGCTCCCCCGAAGGACACCCCCAGTGCCACCTCCAGCGGGAGAGGGGGAGGTCTTCTCAGAGCCTCTCCAGGAGGCCGCTGGCTCTTTGCTGTGCCGTCATCTTCACTGGCCCCGTCACTGGAGATGCGCGGATGGGCGCCAAGCCCGCGTGCGGAGGCGGGTCTCTGCGGGACCTTGGCTTTTAGGGCAGTTGTTTTAGTTCAGAAGCAGCAGACTGAGTGAGAAAACAACGGGGGGAATTTTTAACCCTCTTCCTTTACATTAAAAAGTGCAAGACTTATTACCTGGTTTTCCAGGTCAACAAACAACGGCTTTCTCAATGAGCCGCCTGCGTCTCAGCCCGAAGAGGCTCGGTGGGCACGGCCCGGTCCTGCGCTGGTGGGAGGGACGGGGTCCCAGGCGGGGCGGTCGCTGGCTCGGGCCCTGTCAGGCCGGGCAGGGGACGGAGCACACCTCACTCTACGTTACAAACAGCGTTTCTGTGACGCTGGGAAGTGTTGATTGGTAATTGTCCCGCCGATTGAGTGAGCTTCGTCCGTCCTGGATTCGTCCTTCCTTCTGACGCCATCTGTCTTCTCCCGGGGGTTGAGCGAGGTTCCGGGGTAAGAATCCGCTTCCTCCTACAGAAACGTCACGGAGCGGCTGTCCGGGGTCCGGTGAAGGCATTTTAACTCCTTTTATCTTGCTTCCCAGGCCAAGTTCGAGTCCCTCTTTAGGACCTACGACGAGGACATCACCTTCCAGTACTTCAAGAGCTTCAGGCGCGTCCGGATCAACTTCAGCAGCCACTTGTCTGCAGCCGACGCCCGGCTGCGCCTGCACAAGACCCAGTTCCTCGGGAAGGAGATGAAACTGTACTTCGCGCAGGTGCGTGGAGCTCATCGGTGCGCGTGCTTCTCCGTCCCCGGCGGCCCCCCG